ACGATGCTTCAAACTCACCAAAGGCCGATAAACACGGCGTCGTCCATGCGATGATCTGCTGCTTGATCTGTGCCTCGCTGCAGTGGCGACCCGCCAAGCGATCTTCTGCCATCCCTAATAGCCAAGCCAAAAGACTGGCGCGACGCTGCTTGGAGGGCAGCTCAGTCTCGAGCAGCGCAGCATCAACTGGCAGACCAGCGCGGTCGGACCGCACGCATGACCAGATCCAACGCCAGCCGCGCTCAGGGAAAGCGTCGTCTGCAAGAACATCACGGCCAGCCGCTGACGCAGCCTACCACAACTGATAGACCGAAACTAAAGAAAACCTTGCCTCAGGCTGAGATTAGCCAACATGATGCTAGGCCTGTGAAATTTGATGATGTTCTAGGACTTCTAAGATGAGCTGGAGCTGCTAGCCCTGTAAAAGATGTCTGTGCGCAATCCCAGAGTAAGGCGACCAGCCTCTTACATTCAGGGAAACACTGTTGACAAAAACATTCTTTCGAGCAAGCCCTCCTCTGTCCGCTACGCGCGCTGAAAGACACGCTCCGGTATCTCAAGGCTTGTCGTGAACAAGTGCCAAAAGAGCTAAGCAAGAAAACTAAACTTGTGGGGTCTACTTGTAACTGCGAAACCATGCCTCTGCGTCAGGTCGCGAACGTAGAGCTGCAACCACGGCTTCAAGCAGCTGGCTCTTGGAAAGCCGACTACCAGATGCGGGATCCCTCTGCTGCACGCCGAGGCCAGCTGCGAAGGCACGAAGCTTGTCCAGCTTCATCGAGCCATCCAGCTCAGCATGGAGCCAGTCTTGACCATGTACTGCTGCTTCAGCCCGTAAATGCTCAGCATCAGGAAGAGCATCCAAAGGATTCGCAGCCTGCTGCGCGCGCTGAAAGCCATCCCCAGAACTCGCAGCAGCTGTGGAAGACGAAGTTGCCTGCGCTCTTACAACATAGTTCTTACACACGCACAAAGAGCAAGGCGACCAGCTTCTTACATTCAGGGAAACACTGTTGACAAAAACATTCTTTCGAGCAATCCTCTGTTCGTGCGAACACTGTTGACAAGAAACAAGCGCTTTGGAAAACCATGCCTCTGCGCTGGAAGGAGGACACAGAGATTCGACCAAGACAGCAAGCAGCTGGCCCTTGGTGCGCTGCTGGCCAGACGTGGGGTCCCTCTGCGAAACGCCTAGGCCGGCTCCAAAGGAGCGAAGCCTTGCCGCCGTCATGGAGCCATCCAGCTCGGCCCGGAGCCAGTCAGAACCTCGTGCTTCTGCTTCGGCTCGCAAGTGCTGTGCATCGGGAAGACCATGCCCAGAACTCGCTACAGCTGTCGAAGACGAAGTGGCCTGCGCTCTTATCACATAGTTCTTGAACACGCACAAAAGAGTAAGGCGACCAGCCTCTTACATTCAGGGAAACACTGTTGACAAAAACATTCTTTCGAGCAAGCCCTCCTCTGTCCGCTACGCGCGCTGAAAGACACGCTCCGGTATCTCAAGGCTTGTCGTGAACAAGTTGCGCATTGAGGGTGCCAAAAGAGCTAAGCCAAGAAACAAGTGCTTTGGAAAACCATGCCTCTGCGCTGGAAGGAGGACACAAAAAGTTGACCAAGGCATCAAGCAGCTGGCCCTTGGTGCGCTGCTGGCCAGAAGCGGGGTCCCTCTTCTGCACGCCAAGGCCGGCTCCAAAGGAGCGAAGCCTCTCCGCCGCCATGGAGCCGTCCAGCTCGGCCCGGAGCCAGTCAGACCCCCGTAGAGCTGCTTCGGCTCGCAGACGCTCTGCGTCAGGAAGGCCATCCCCAGAACTCGCAGCAGCTGTGGAAGACGAAGTTTCCTGCGCTCTTACAACATAGTTCTTACGTGTTTTAAAAAGCCATGCCTCTGCTCTGGAAGAAGGCGAACGCACAAAAGAATAAGGCGAACGCTCCAAAGCCTCTTACATTCAGGGAAACGCTGTTGACAAAAACATTCTTTTGAGCAAGCCCTCGTCTGTTCGCGCAAGCACTGCTGACAAGAAACACATTCTTCACAATCCCCGGGAGAAAAGGTAAGCAACCGTCAACAAAAACAAGCGCTTTTCCTCTGTTCGCGCGAACACTGTTGACAAGAAACAAGTGCTTTGGAAAACCATGACAAAAACATTCTTTCGAGCAAGCCCTCCTCTGTCCGCTACGCGCGCTGAAAGACACGCTCCGGTATCTCAAGGCTTGTCGTGAACAAGTGCCAAAAGAGCTAAGCAAGAAAACTAAACTTGTGGGGTCTACTTGTAACTGCGAAACCATGCCTCTGCGTCAGGTCGCGAACGTAGAGCTGCAACCACGGCTTCAAGCAGCTGGCTCTTGGAAAGCCGACTACCAGATGCGGGATCCCTCTGCTGCACGCCGAGGCCAGCTGCGAAGGCACGAAGCTTGTCCAGCTTCATCGAGCCATCCAGCTCAGCATGGAGCCAGTCTTGACCATGTACTGCTGCTTCAGCCCGTAAATGCTCAGCATCAGGAAGAGCATCCAAGGGATTCGCAGCCTGCTGCGCGCGCTGAAAGACACGGTGGAAACCAACAGCGCAAGCCAAAAGTGGTAATTCCAAGAAACCAAGAGGGGTATGCGAAACAATCGTGCGCTCTCGCATGCCAACGTCCAGCCTGCGCACGTCGCTGGCAACCAGAATCCGACATGGCAACACGACACGTCGGAAATACCCGCCAGCGCCGCGCGACTCTGATATCTTCTGGCCACCCGCTGTGTGTAACTGCTTTGACAAGATTGGTGCGCCAAGGAAACGAATCCGCACTTCGGAAGATGCGATCTGAGCGATGACACCTTCTACAGTACTAACACGGAGGACTGCAACTTGAGCATGAATGCACGTGCAAGCAGCAATGACAAGCGACAGCAACCTCATGGAGCACCCCTCCAAAAAATGAAGCATAACACCAACACAAAGAAGCCGTGTCGCCCTAATCAACTGTCGCCGCAAACATTCTCTGGGCAAGCTCCGCTACTGAGACACTCATGACATCCAAGCTTCGGCTACTATTGCTCTTGTCAGCTGCCTATCACTCCAAAATCCAACTGCGCATGTTTATTTTACAAGCCAATTACAAAAGCCAACTGCCCAATCTCACTTCACAAGCCAATGACAACTGCCAACTGCCCAATCTCACTTCACAAGCGAAATGCACTGTCCCAAAACACAAGCCAAATTTTCGAGTGTTACGTCACTATCCTAAAGCGCAAGCTAACTTCTCGGGCGTTTCTTCGGCATCGTAAAGCGCAAGTATTCGTTTTCAGGCGTTACATTGCAAGCCGACTTTTCCTTTTCTACCTTCTCTTCTCGATTCTGAGTTCTTTCTTCTTTTTCCGGCGGAGCTGGGGAGACGCTCTCCGCGCCGAGATAGGTCCGCAAGTGCTTTGTGCAAGTGCTCTGTGCAAGTTGCTCTGCGCAAGTTGCTCTGCGCAAGTTGCTCTGAGCAAGTGCTGCCGGAGCTGTGGGAATGTACTTCGCGTACTATTTTTTGTACTTAAAAGTTGTGATTTTCCAGCCGGAGCTGCGGGAGTGTGCTCCGCGTACTACGTTTGTACTTAAAAGTTGCGATTTTCCAGCCGGAGCTGCGGGAATGTGCTCCGCGTACTATGTTTGTACTTAAAAGTTGCGATTTTCCAGCCGGAGCTGCGGGAGCACGCTCCGCATACTACGTCTGTACTTAAAAGTTGCGATTTGCCAGCCGGAGCTGCAGGAGCACGCTCCGCGTACTACGTCTGTACTTAAAAGTTGCGATTTGCCAGCCGGAGCTGCAGGAGCACGCTCCGCGTACTACGTTTGCACTTAAAAGCTGCGATTTTCAAGCCGGAGCTGCCGCGGACCAGGGGGAATCGAACCCGAGACCGCGGGATTGCGAAAGCAGGCGCGCAAACCACGAGACAACTTCCAAAGGCCGTTTCGCGAGCAAGAAAATCGCACGGCGCCACAGCGAGAGCGCTTCGACACGCACGATCTCCGCAGAGGGTTCATCGGGCTCAAGACAGATGCGCACGGCGCCACAGCGAGAGCGATCCGACACGCACGATCTCCGCAGAGGGCTCGCCGCGACCAAGACAAATTCGCACGGCGCCACAGCGAGAGCGCTTCGACACGCAGGATCTCCGCAGAGGGTTCGCCAAGGTCAAGACAAATTCGCACGGCGCCACAGCGAGAGCGCTTCGACACGCACGATCTCCGCAGAGGGTTCGCCGCGACCAAGACAGATTCGCGCGGCGCCACAGCGAGAGCGCTTCGACACGCACGATCTCCGCAGAGGGTTCGCCGCGCTCAAGACAAATTCGCACGGCGCCACAGCGAGAGCGCTTCGACACGCACGATCTCCGCAGAGGGTTCGCCAAGGTCAAGACAAATTCGCACGGCGCCACAGCGAGAGCGCTTCGACACGCACGATCTCCGCAGAGGGGTGCGTTTCGTAAGCTCCCGTCGGGCCTACCCCCGCCATAAAAAGAAGAAGAATTAAGAGTCGAGATGTGAAGGTAGAACAGAAAAGTTAGCTTGTGTTTTTAGGATAGTGAAGTAACACCCGACAAATTAGCTTGTGCTTTTAGTAGAATGAGATAACAGCCGAAAAGTTGACATGAGAAGTTGGCAGGTGAAGTAACTCTCAAAAAGTTGACATGAGAAGTAGGCAGGTGAAGTAACTCTCGACAAGTTGGCATGAGAAGTTGGCAGGTGAAGTAACTCTCGACAAGTTGGCATGAGAAGTTGGCAGGTGAAGTAACTCTCGACAAGTTGGCATGAGAAGTTGGCAGGTGAAGTTGGCAGCCGCTTTTAGAAGAAGAACCCTTCACAATGCTTCCGGGAACAAAAACGGAGAAAGAAACCACGAGAAACGGAATCCAACGGGAAAGATAAGAAAAAGAAGAGACACTCAATGCATGCAAGGAAAAGTTAAAAATTGGAAGTCGGATATAGACACCACTCCTATTTGGTTTGCAAAACCTGTGAGGCCCACACCCAGCGACGCCAGCCACCGCAGAGTCGTGCACTTGAGCGCCACCATGTCGGCAGCCTGCGGTTTCAGGCAGCAAGCGATGAGAGCACCTGACCCAATGCTCCGAGCGCCAAGCAGATTTGGACTTGAGCCGCGATTTCCAATGAGACCAACCTGGCAGTTTTCCGTGCTAGCAGAATTGCTACTCACTGAGTGCACGGCTTGCGGATGCAAGACCGCCAACAGAAGCAGCCTGAGCTGAGAATCGCTTTGCAGTGACTTGCTGTTTTGGCATTCTGCCTCAACAGCACCACAAGGAATGAGCAAGAACTCGCTAGCGATCTGGAAAAACAACACCTGTCAGTGTCAAAAGATCAGCTTGCACTTGTGCTGCAACTGGAGGTGCTGGCAGAGCTCTCCGTGGGCGGCCGGCTTTTGAGCAAGCCCAAGCACCGTGGAACCTTCACAAGCAACGGACCAAACATAGCGAAACCGCGGCAAAAGAGAACCAGGGAGGCCAAAGGAAAGGCCAAAGAAGCCAAAGGAGAAGTAACGACTGCGCCAACGCCTGCTCCTTGCGGTGCCCTTCCGCTGCCATTTGCCCCAGACCGGGGATGGCAGCTAGAAAGGCCACGACCCTGTCCTCGCACGAGCCGGATCAGCTGATTTCAGTCGATAGCGTACGCGCGCTACACACAGTCCAGGCCAGGAAGCAGCTTTCCAAAGTTCTCCAAGGAATACCTGCAGTGCAGTCTCAATGCCAACGACTGCAAGCCTCAGGGTTTGGGGCGCAATGAGAGATCGATCTGTTCCTGTCAAGGCTAACTCTTGGTTGTTGAGTCAAGCAATGCTCGGCCTGTGGGGACAAACGCGGTATGCTGAGGTCAAGGAAAATGATAGACCTGGGGTGAGCATTGATTGGGTGGCACACCTGAGGCTTTCAACTTCAAGGCTAGTGAGGAAGTAGCCATGTTCGCAGCTTCGCATGCATACTGCAAGAGAAGGCCCGCGCAAGTTTCTGAACAGTGGGCCATTCTGAGTGCTGGCAACGGCCGGCATAAACCAGCCTCAGAGACTCGCAAAGAAGCAGCCAATCAAAACACAAGCAGATGTCACGCACAAATTACGACAAGACGAGCAGTGACGAGCTTTCGGTAAGGAAGCCGCGCTGCAAAATACTAAGTGCTGGCAGCTTAATGGCCTGGGAGTCTCCAATCCCAAGTGCAAGGCAACTAGATTGGTATTCAGGCTGACTCAGGCTCGCTCCCCATTGCCCTTTGCACGTGTGAGCACATGGTTCAGGATGTTGACCAGCTTCTTCTGCGCGGAGTCCTAGCAGCAGGAACATGCAGAACTTGGAGAGGTTTCCACGCAGAATGCATGGCCGGCCGTTGGCGTGAGCAGCTCATCAAACACGATGGGCAGCCTGAGATCGTTGGACACCAGGTGTCAGGGTCATACGGTTTGTGGTGACATCCGATCCGAGCGGCAACTTTGCCAGGATGGGCTCCAATTTCTCATCTTCAGCTGTGCTCAGCCTGGCATGAAAGAAATCGACTTGAAGGCGGGGCAGAAAGGCAACCTGACTGATGCAACATGCCCGAGGAATTCTCTGTGCTCTGAGCCTGATGAGGGCGCGGTCCTAAGCCGACAAGAAAAGCAACAGGTATGCACCAGCCATAGCATGCGAATCGAGCCACAGCACCCGCAAGTCATCAATCGCTGAGTATGCTAAGTGCCGTGCATATTGGTCAGACATGTTGCAACATGATCAAGCGACCCAAGATCTCAACGCTGTCGCTGAAACCAGTCAAGGGAGTGGGCTTGAAACGTTGGGGCATCTGATCTTGGACAGTTCCAATTGCCTGTGAAGCTTGCCGGCTGCCAGCAGTGTCAGAAAGCTTCATGCAGAAGGCTGCATCTTTGTTTGAGAGATCTTGAGCAAACATCAAGTAGGGGTTTTGCTGAGGCAAGCTCAACACACATGGAGCCCAATCGACGCCCGACATGTTCGATGGCAGGCTGGTCAGGCGCGACATTTGAATCCCGGTATCAACCATAGCCGACACTTCCGCACCTAGGAGCATTGAATTGGGTTGCATTCTCATCTAATTCGTTCGCGAATTCAATCACGCTTCTGCGCAGCATCTCCGTTCTTTGCAAACAGTGCAGGTCTGATTGCAGCAATCACATGCCACAACTTCACCCAAAATACAAACTACCTCATTCAAGCACCGTAAAGTCCGCGATGGTGCCTCAGTGCTTTGCAAAGGGCGGAAGTGGACTCGACCGCCGCACCCTCTCATGCTGCAATTCTGTCAGTTGATGTGACTGACAGTATGGCATGGTCACCACTTCGCCATGCTCGAAGCACTTGAACAAACTCGCCTAATCCAAAGCTGGGCGCTGGAGGTCACTTAGCTGCGGGCAGAATGCTTGAATGAAAGCTCGAACTGTCCTTTGCCTCCCAGGAAAAGGGTGGTCAATGTTTATGCGGTGACCACAACAGCAACGCTGGGGTCCTCTTCCCGGCACTGCGACGAACCTGATTTTGCGCTGGTCTGCGCCCCCAAGGTGGCAAATAGCGCCCTCAATCTGCGTAAACCATGGCGGGGGTTTACGAGCACTTACTTTGCAATGAGCCAAATTGTGCAATATGGGAAGTTTTGCGCCTCAGAATGCAGGCGTTTGCTTCAAGCTCAAGGCAAGCAGGCATGTTCACTTGCTTCCGGCAGTGAGCTTGAATTCTGTTAGCATGCTTCTTGCTGAATACGAAGACACCCATGCATAGCAGGTAAGTATATAGTCGCGTTGAAGCATAAATGCGCGGGGGTTAAGGCGCTGCAAACCTTGCTCGTGCCAAGTGTTTCTAGCACTGCTGTTGAATCCTTCGGTTCTGGCCTGCCACTGCTGCAGACATGTTCAAAACCAGTGCAAGCTGAGCAAGTTGAATAAGGCTACTGGATTTCTGATTAGTCACATTGCAGAAGCCCCTGATTCTTCACCCAGATTCTTGGGAAAAGCCTAACTCCCAACAAGGGAAAATTTGCTGCGTGTGCTTGTCTTCCGCGCAACCCTCCACGCAGCCAGCTCCAACGACTTTGAGCGTTCCTCCGCGAAACGCTCCCACGCCGCCGTGATGTTGCCGCCCAGAGACCCAGAGAGCGCATCCGCGAAAGCGCTCGAGGCATGGCTGGGTTCCTCATGCCACCCTGGCGATCGTCTTGCGATCTCTCTTCCAATCTGCGTCCTGCCGGCGTTTTCGATGAGCGTCTCAAGCAGTCTCCGCTTCCCTGCAAGCCGAATCAAGCCACTTTCTGTTCTCCACTTGCTCCAGCTGAGGGCGTGCTTCACCAGCTGGTTGCGCAGTGTGGCCGAGCAATGCGCTGACCTCCCGCCCACCTGAAGGATCAAAGTGTAGTAATTTTACTACACAAAAAATTGCATCATTTTTGTGTAGTAATTTGTGTGTAGTAACTTGTGTGTAGTAATTTTGTGTGCTAATTTGTGTGTAGATTTTTGGCAGTTGTGCGGTAATTTGTGCATTCTTACAACACATTTTTTTGTAGTAATTTGGCCAAAATCGCATTTTTGCTGTGTAGTAATTTGTGTGTAGTAATTTGTGTGTAGTAATTTGGGTGTGTAGTAAAATTGTGTGTAGTAAATTTGTGCATTTTTATCTAAAAAACGTATTTTTTATTTTTACTTGTGTTTTGGTATTTTTTTCCGCTTAATTTGTTGGAACAATGAGCAGATGTTGAGCAAATTTGCGCGTGTTTGCAAGACACACTTCACAAGTGTTCTTTCGTTGGATGCGTCACAAGCGTTTGCCAGGCAAATCGAGCTGTTTCATTGCACGAACGAATGGCCGCGAGGTTTGGCTATATAGCAGACAGCTAGGCTGTCTTGCGGCATCACAGATGCATTTGCAACCGCGGGCAGCCCATCCCAAGAGGACAACGAAAAAATGCTCCGGGAAATTGCAAGTGACAAAGCCTGTCCAAGCTGCTGGCTGGAAATCACTGCGCCTTGCCTTGACAGGACGGGTTGTTGCGCGGCTCCTTGTGTGCCATGTGGTTCCAAATTCAACGCTTGCCACGTTTCTTTCCTGAAGTTTTTACACAGAGACGCCTACTCGAAACGCGTCACTTCGCGCAGCTCAGCCATGATGATTTGCAAAGACTGCATTTGCGACCTGTTGGGGGCAGACCTTCAGATGACTGCAAATGACGGCGGCGCGGAAGGCGAGACGTTCGCATGAGGAAAATAGAAACAGTTTGCCGAAATTTGGATTGGTCAAACCACACATGCGTTTCTCGTGCATGCGCGCCATGGAGTACACATGAGCAACTGAAGCCATTTTGTGGATCACACAGCATGGATACATACAAATGGATGTCGTCTTTGTTTTGCCTGGCGCTAGCCATAGAGATCGCCAGGCTGTTTTGGATGATGATGATGACGATCGCCCTCCAGACGCTGCAGAGATCGAGGAGTGCGTTTGAACTTGTGAAACAGTGCCATCGCCGTGTTGAAAGGAACATGTGCCTTTTTTATGTTTGTGCAATGACCGGGCCGTGCTAATCTGGATCCAGGAGGCAAAATTCATGTGATTCAACTTCTTCGGGAATTAGATTTAGGACATTTTCATTTTTTTATCACAGGTTTCAAGTCTTTTTTACATTTTTGTGGTTGGCTTGGCGGAATATGAGCCCAAGATGAAGCTCTGCCACTGAAAAATCCAGGAAACTACATCACAGCAAGAATTCATTCAATGTAAGAATTTTGGCATTAGATTTAAGACATTTTTACATTTTTTGGTTGGCTTGGCGGAATATGATGCTCTGCCACTGAAAATACTGAAAATTCCACAAAACTACATCAGCCGCAGCAAGAATTTGTTGAATGTAAGACTTTGGGCATTAGATTTAGGACATTTTCAGTTTTTTTTTATCGCAGGTTTACATTTTTTGGGCTGGCTTGGCGGAATATGAGCCCAAAATGAAGCTCTGCCATTGAAAACTCTACAAAACTACATCGACCACAGCAAGAGTTCATTCAATGTAAGACTTTAGGCATTAGATGTAGGACATTTTCAGTTTTGCATCACAGGTTTCAAGGTTTTTTTGTTTTTTACATTTTTTGGTTGGCTTGGCGGAACATGCGCCCAAAATGAAGCTCTGCCACTCAAAAGATCCACGAAACTACATTAACCACAGCAAGAATTCTTTCAATGTAAGAATTTGGTAAGACATTTTCAGTTTTTCTCACAGGTTTCAAGCTTTTTTTACAGTTTTTTGGCTGGCTTGGCCGAATATGAGCCCAAAATGAAGCTCTGCCACTGAAAACTCCACGAAACTACATCAACCACAGCAAGAATTCATTCAGTGTAAGAATTTGGGCATTAGATTTAAGACATTTTCAGTTTTTTACCACAGGTTTCAAGTTGTTTTTCCCCAACAGCTGAAAGCTTTGGGGTCTCAGCCCAGATAGGCTCCGGGATGGTTCGGAGCAACCCGAGCTAAGGTTCCACCCGGTTCCACCAGGGTTCCACCATCTGCGAGGTTTCCACCAGGGTTCCACCACTGCGGGGTGGTCCGGGGTGGTTTGAGGTAAGGTTCCGGTTCCACGAGGGTTCCACGACAGTTCCACCAGGGTTCCACCAATTTCTTCGAGGGCTGCGGGGTGGTCCGGGCTGGTTTGAGGAAGGTTTTACAGTTCCAGAAGGGTTCCGCCAGGGTTCCACCAGGGTTCTCACCAGGGTAAGGTTCCACAAAGGTTGCGCCAGGGCTGCAGAGTGGTCCGGGTGGTAGGTTCCACGAGGGTTCCACCAGGGTTCCAGCAATTTCTTCAAGCGCTACGGGGTGGTCCGGGGGTTACCAGGGTTCTGCCAGAGTTTCACCAGCCACGAGGTTTCACCAGGGTTCCACCATTCCATGAGGGTTCCACCAGAATTCTACCAGGTTTTGCAAGGTAAGGTTCCATGGTTCTCGAGGTTCTGCGAGGTGGTCCGGAGTGGTTTGAGGTACGGTTCTCTGACGGTTTCAGAGTTCCACGAGATTCTGCGAGGGCCGTGGGCCCTGAAGTTTCACAGGGTTCCACAAAGTTCTGCAACGATTCCACACGGGTTCCACAAGGCTCCACAATGTTCCACCAAGGGTTCTAGAAATGTTCTGCAAGGTTCCGTGGTTTGCCCTGCGCGCCCGTCGACTGAAAAGCCATCGGATCAAGATTGAGCGGAACACCAAGCAAAACCGAAATCAATGGCTTTTGGCACACTTTCACTGTTTGTGACTTGCTCACTTGCTCAGGCAAATGTTGGCTTTGTGGCAAATCAGACCACGTCGCTGCGGGACTCACGGTGCAGCAGAGTAGATGCTTGGCGTTGCTGCTTGGTGGGCTTTGGGTTCCAAGAATTCCACGAGGCTGCGAGGGCTATGAGGCAAAAACGTTCCACAAGGTTGCCACCAGGTTCTGCAAAAGCTATGGGGCAGCCCTGAGGAAAGGTTCCAACAAAGTTTCACGAACGGTTTGCGCGGTTCACCGGGCCTAGGTCTTGCACTGTCGGGGCCCGATTGCACCGCTTGGGCCCGATCGGCCCCGATTGCGCCCGCACCCCGTTAACTGCCATCCCCTATTTTTTCTATAGTACTGTCCGCGTGCCATTGCGCTGTCACTCGTAGCTTTGCTTTAGAATGTTACCTCAGCAACACCGGCGGTAAGGATGGTCCTGGGGCGTTCCGCGGGGATTGTGCCAAG